AAGTACAGTGGAACACTGTTACAACAAGGGCCTTGGGACTTTACAAATTTCTTGTATTGTCACTAATGAAAATAAAGAGGAAACAAAGGCTTTGGACCTAAAATTGTCTTTGTTATAAATATGACCTTAAATTAACAGTGCTCTTGTTATCTGTGTTCGATTGTATATGTATTTGTATTCATCAGATCATTTGGAAAATGAAATGTAATACGCTTCATCATGACAAGTTTTTACAAAACCTCCCTTAAATCGTCTTAATTTGTGAACCTCTAAAGTACAGTTAGTCATTTTATCCATCCATCAAAATAAAAGTTGTATTTTGTGGGGTCAGTGCCCAAAAAAATGATTTTAGACTTTTTTGTCATTTAGGCAACCTTACCGTGTATGTGACTACAGAGAGTGGCAACCTGACTGAAGGCTATTCAGTATTTTCACTCAGTGGTCAGCAAACAGCCGGTACTACTTGGCTACAAGCTGTGATACCTTTGACTGACCCGCCTTCCACATTTCGAATAGCACTTGAAGTCACAGGTACAACTGGAGTCCGTGCAGACACTGCCGTCGACGACATAGAGATCACTTTCATAGGTAGGGAGTTTCTTTTTTGATACAAAAACAAAAAAAGTAGAAGAAACCTAAACTTGAAATCTTCTCATTTTGAGGACGGATATGTCGCCTGCAACGACAGTGACTTGTGAATTTTCATCAGAGTTGACATACATGTAAGAGCGCTGTACACAGAATAAGCAGGTAATCAGCACTGGAAAAACTTTCACTCTCATTCACATGAACATGAAAGATGCATCCGACAGAAATAACATTTGGTGATTATAAGTTGGCCCTACCTTACGACAATAGTAAAAATGAAAGTGTCGCAGTCACCAAAAGGGATTCAGTATTTCTGTCCTAGTTGGAAAGCAAATCACTGTCAGAAAGTAGGCCTACAAAATAAAGTTTTCAAACTTTGGCTGAGTTTGTAGTTTCAAGTTACTTTGGGTTGTCTATGTAAGGTATTGATCTGGGAAAGTAATCACCGTGATCATGTTTATTGTTTATTATCATTATCATTATTGTAAATGTTATTAGTCAGTTTCAAACCGTACATATTTTTTTGTAATATCTTCAGAGACAGCGATTTATTGGTAACAATTCTACAATGTGTTTTTAATGAATAGAGACAGTTTTTTATGGCTATATTCAAAAACAAATAAACGCCCATGTACACCTAAAATTATTAAAACATCGCCTTATTCGAATTTCTAAAGGGATCAATAGGTTCAATCAAATAAGTGCTGAGATATTCAACATTTGACATATGTATTGACTTTGTATGTACTCGTAGACATTGAAGCGCCTGAAGTGACTTGTCCAAACAGTGTCCCTTCCATGAGTACAGACATGGGACTGTCAACTGCCGTGGTAATTTGGTCGCCACTGCCATCAGCTACTGATAACGTGGACGTGTTCGACTCCAGCAACATCACATGTAAAGACGAAGATGGCAATGTTGTGGAATCCAATGGAACATATGCCCTTGGTCCAACAACAGTGACATGCAATGCTACCGACATGGCAGGAAATCGGGGCATTTGTAACTTTTCAATCACAATAATAGGTAGGTTTATGCGAAAGCGCATGTCTGAAGGTACGAATTGGTGAAAGTTGTTAACGTTTATTATCATCCCTGGTATTGTACATTGCTATACCTAGCTACGAGAATGTCGCCATTTTGCTTTCAACAAAAACGGTTTTGCCTCGAATCCGTGGCTCCACATTTATTGAAATAATTAAATGGAATTATATGAACGTGTGTTACTTTTGAAGTTGTTGAAGCATCGCCCTTTTCTTAATTCTGAAGAGATCTATAAGTGTAATCAAAGGACTACTCAGAGTGTCAACATTAAAGATAGTTTGACTTTTGTATGTACTTGCAGATACCGAAGCGCCCAATGTCACGTGTCCTAACAGCATCCCCTCCATGAGTACAGACACTGG